ACAGCATACTGTTTGTTAAAAGATCGGCTTACGAATAAACCTATTTTACAGTTACCTGAGATCAGTAAAAAGTTCACATTAAGAACTGACGCGAGTGGAATAGGGTTAGGAGCTACATTGCTCCAGGAAAATAGCCAACATCCTGGCCAACTCTTTCCTGTTGCATATGCCAGTCGAAAACTAAATCGGGCAGAACAAGCTTATTCGACTATAGAAAAAGAATGTTTAGGTTTAGTTTGGGGAATACAGAAGTTTCAACCCTATCTTTATGGAACTCAGTTTGTAGTACAAAGTGATCACCAACCTTTGTCATTCTTGGCAGCTTCCAACCGATTAAATTCTAGGTTAATGAGGTGGTCGTTATTATTGCAGCCATATACCTTTACTGTCCAGTATATTCCAGGAAAGGAAAACGTGGGTGCAGATTTCTTAAGCAGAATACCAGTGGATGATGAAATGTGTGAGATTGCAAGAAAATAATAATTTGATTTTTAACTCTTTGGGAACTGAAATTTCCTCTATTTAAATTTCGTAACTGAAATGTTCTTTTCCGGGGGCATATGTGACAAAACGGAGGATAATTTCGGTCCGGCAAGAGTTAATTGCAAGTTTTAGTTAAAAGAATTGCGCACGTAAAAAAAATATATTTAAACATAGACGCTAAAAGAATAAAAAGGTACGAAGGCGCACATAATTTATGACGTTTTGTGGTGTTACTAGGAGATCTAATTCCGTCACAACACAGAAAGATTGCTAGCCATACCATCGGCCTAACACCAACAATAATAATAATACCATATACGATTCAGGTTCCCGTGTTACCGTAGTCCTGCCTGCCTGTTTACCAGAGGACCATAATCCCTTGTTACCGTATTCTTGCCTGCCGGGTTACCAGAGGACCGTAATTCCGTATTTCGGTTGGCCTGTTTGCCTAGTTGCTTGAAGAACGTGAACCATAGTCATAATTGCCGGGTTATCAGTGGACATTCCTCCAAAAGGAAACTACATTTCAACTCATCAATACTATCGGAAAGCTGAGTGACATTTGATGTTTGTTCAGAGTTTTGTGGTGTACATGATGACACCGTGATTTATTTTCTCTGTGTTAATTTGAAAATTGTTGAATTCAATATCAGTATTTTATCAATACAGTTGTTATTTAGAAACTCCATTTATTGATTTCATTGTAGTGAGTCATTTTCTCCACATTAATTTATGCCCGATAGATGACGTCAGTAATAGATGTAAGACGAATGTTTTGACTGGCTGAGATAACACGAGATTTATGTCTTGAGTTTCATGAGAGACATCTGAAAGTCAGGTTTTATGTGAAACATGATTGTTCACAGGATTTGTGTGAAATGTGAATTATCACGGGCCAGACACGACTTTCAACAGTGGGAAATTCGTGAGAATGAATCCAGAATATTCGAGAACAGGATAGATCAGAGGGCTATATAATAGCGAAGAAAAGGTTTGTGGGCAGTCTCGTTTTGGACCTAGGAACAGTGTGCATGGACAGCGGTGGATGATGTGTGGATTCAGCAGATGTTTTTGTGAGTGAATTTGTTCCGGTCCAACTTGGCGAAAAAAGCTGGCCAGTAATATGTCTGCGGGTCGTCTGAGTTTGTCGGTCAGGACAGCTGCTGTGTTTCGTTCAAGATGTTAGTGTGATTGTGATTTCTGCTTAAAGGTAATATTTGAAAAAAAACTGAAATTGCATACACCAAAATTGATTACTTAGGACATGTTATATGCGAAGGTTTAGTCCAGACAGATGAAAATATTGTTTCAAAAATTTTGAAGATCCAAAAACCTAAAACTAAAAAGCAGCTACAATCTCTACTAGGGTTAATAAACTATTACGGTAAATTCATCCCAAATTTAGCAGCACTAACATCACCACTATCAGAGTTATTAAAGAATCAACAATTGAAAAAATCAGATTGGAATGAGACACATGAGGAAATTCTAGTTAAAATAAAAAACTGTTTTTCAAAATATCCTATTTTGAGACAACCTGACCCTTCCAAAAGATTTTTTCTACGATCAGATGCCAGCGGTCACACAATAGCTAGCATGCTTGCGCAGAAACATTCACAAACATTACTCCCAGTAATGTATATGTCACAGAAACTTAACCAAACTCAACAAAAATACAATACATTTGAACGAGAAGCGTTGGCACTAGTCATTAGTCTAAAAAAGTTTCAGAAGTTTCTTTTGGGAAAAGAATTCACTATTTTAAAAGATAACTTGGTGTTGACAAAATTATTAACAATTGATGCCAATAGCAATCCAAGGGTATATAGATGGGCATTGTTGATATCACAATTCAAATTTAACATTGAACACATCAAAGGAACAATCATTTACCAGATATCATGTCACGTTTGTAGAATATGTTGCAACTGCTATTACAACTTGTATTAACTGAAATTATTTTATGTAAGGGTATGCATTGTATTATTGTATGAATGTATTATATGAATTTACAACTTGGAAAATGTATGTTTTGATTTGAACGGGTATAATATAGTAAACAACTAAAATTAAAGGGAGACAACATTCAGTGTTAAAATACACCTCACCAGAAAATATGTTGCATTTACTAGTATACTAAATTGAATTGGTGTAGCATTTGAATTGAATATGTGTGTTAATGGGACATGTTGTAGTTTCTGAAGACAAGGTAATTAACTACATCTTGTACCTTACATAGTTGGGAACAAAACCATACATTGCTGATTTAGCCATTGTTGAGGGCTTTCATGAATGGGAATAGCGAGGGTGGGACTTCATGGGGTCACACTTCGGTTTTAGAGCCAAAATTTTGGACTTCCGCACCGATCGGGGGGTGCCAGGAGAGGGGTTCGGTGGTATACCGACTTTAGAGCTGGGTGGGGATACCTATGGAGCCAGATTATTGGTCTTCCGCACTAAAAGGGGAGTGCCTGGGGTGAGGATCCCATTAAGGTCTTCACAGTCGTGCAAAGACCCAACAGATGGCATGTTAGAGTGTTTGAATTGTTAACCTAATGAGGTAAAGGGAACTTGGTTGGAAATGAACTTGTCGAAAATGATTCACTACAAAGGTCTAGGATCACAATGTTCAGTGAAATGTTCACACCTGATTAATTGAAAATGTAAAACATTTTTTGGGGTGGGGGAGAATGTAGTGAGTCATTTTCTCCTCATTAATTTATGCCCGATAGATGACGTCAGTAATAGATGTAAGACGAATGTTTTGACTGGCTGAGATAACACGAGATTTATGTCTTGAGTTTCATGAGAGACATCTGAAAGTCAGGTTTTATGTGAAACATGATTGTTCACAGGATTTGTGTGAAATGTGAATTATCACGGGCCAGACACGACTTTCAACAGTGGGAAATTCGTGAGAATGAATCCAGAATATTCGAGAACAGGATAGATCAGAGGGCTATATAATAGCAAAGAAAAGGTTTGTGGGCAGTCTCGTTTTGGACCTAGGAACAGTGTGCATGGACAGCGGTGAATGATGTGTGGATTCAGCAGATGTTTTTGTGAGTGAATTTGTTCCGGTCCAACTTGGCGAAAAAAAGCTGGCCAGTAATATGTCTGCGGGTCGTCTGAGTTTGTCGGTCAGGACAGCTGCTGTGTTTCGTTCAAGATGTTAGTGTGATTGTGATTTCTGCTTGAAGGTAATATTTGACACTTGCATTATAATGTGTGTCTGGACAGTTGTCAAGTTCATGTGCCGGCTGTGTAAGCCGCGAGTGGAAGATTAAAGTACTGGAACAGTATCGTGTTGTTTTTCCAGTCATCCATTTTTTCTGCTCGTCGAGTGATGTCGGTTTGTGAGATGGCAGCGAGCATGCGATGAGGCGAGCCAGTAGAAGATAAAAGAGAATCATCGCATTCATCCTATCAATTCTTACTTCTTAGGTAGACTAAAGATTGTTCATTGCAATTTATTTGAGTTAAATTTACAAAGTTTTGACTTTGGTTGTTTTCTGAATTTCTTTAGGAAATTTCCGGGGATTCACCCTATTCTTTAACTTTCTGTATTCTCCTTCCTCTATTTTTAAGAACTCAGGGACCGTTATAATTCCCCTAGACTTATTTAATTCGAGCCCTGTAAGTTATTTGGAAGGATATAGGGGATCTCCAGGCGACGATAGATTCCGCCAACAATAGTTGATTACAATAATGATAATGGTTTCTAAATAAAATAAGGTGTGAACAAAAATTGCAAGCACACTGGCATTCTTCACACGGATACCGGCATCCTTCACAAGGTTCCTGGAATCCTTCACAAGGTTACTACCATCCTTCACAAGGTTACTAGCATCCTTTACACAGTTACTGGCATCCTTTACAAGGCTACTAGCATCCTTCACAAGGGTACTGGCATCCTTTACAGAGTTACTGGCATCCTTCACAAGGATACTAGCATCCTTCACAAGGTTACAAGCATCCTTTACACAGTTACTGGCATCCTTTACAAGGTTACTGGCATCATTTACAAGGTTACTAGCATCCTTTACAAGGTTACTAGCATCCTTTACACAGTTACTGGCATCCTTTACACAGTTACTGGCATCCTTTACAAGGTTACTAGCATCCTTTACACAGTTACTGGCATCCTTTACAAGGTTACTGGCATCCTTCACAAGGTTACTGGCATCCTTTACAACGTTCCTAGCCATCCTTTACACAGTTACTAGCATCATTTACACAGTTACTATCATCCGTTACACAGTTACTGGCATCCTTTACACAGTTACTAGCATCCTTTACACAGTTACTGGCATCCTTTACACAGTTACTAGCATCCTTTACACAGTTACTGGCATCCTTTACACAGTTACTAGCATCCTTTACACAGTTACTGGCATCCTTTACACAGTTACTGGCATCCTTTACACAGTTACTGGCATCCTTTACACAGTTACTAGCATCCTTTACACAGTTACTAGCATCCTTTACACAGTTACTAGCATCCTTTACACAGTTACTGGCATCCTTTACACAGTTACTAGCATCCTTTACACAGTTACTAGCATCCTTTACACAGTTACTAGCATCCTTTACACAGTTACTAGCATCCTTTACACAGTTACTAGCATCCTTTACACAGTTACTAGCATCCTTTACACAGTTACTGGCATCCTTTACACAGTTACTGGCATCCTTTACACAGTTACTAGCATCCTTTACACAGTTACTAGCATCCTTTACACAGTTACTAGCATCCTTTACAGTTACTTGCATTCTTTACAAGGTTACTGGCATCCTTTACAAGGTTACTGGCATCCTTTACACAGTTACTGGCATCCTTTACACAGTTACTGGCATCCTTTACACAGTTACTGGCATCCTTTACAAGGTTATTGGCATCCTTTACACAGTTACTGGCATCCTTTACACAGTTACTGGCATCCTTTACACATTTACTGGCATCCTTTACACAGTTACTGGCATCCTTTACAAGGTTATTGGCATCCTTTACACAGTTACTGGCATCCTTTACACAGTTACTGGCATCCTTTACACAGTTACTGGCATCCTTTACACAGTTACTGGCATACTTTACATAGTTACTAGCATCCTTTACACAGTTACTAGCATCCTTTACACAGTTACTGGCATCCTTTACACAGTTACTGGCATCCTTTACACAGTTACTGGCATCCTTTACACAGTTACTAGCATCCTTTACACAGTTACTGGCATCCTTTACACAGTTACTGGCATCCTTTACACAGTTACTAGCATCCTTTACACAGTTACTGGCATCCTTTACACAGTTATTGGCATCCTTTACACAGTTACTGGCATCCTTTACACAGTTACTGGCATCCTTTACACAGTTACTAGCATCCTTTACACAGTTACTAGCATCCTTTACACAGTTACTAGCATCCTTTACAAGGTTACTAGCATCCTTTACAAGGTTACTGGCATCCTTTACACAGTTACTAGCATCCTTTACACAGTTACTGGCATCCTTTACAAGGTTATTGGCATTCTTTACACAGTTACTTGCATTCTTTACAAGGTTACTGGCATCCTTTACAAGGTTACTGGCATCCTTTACACAGTTACTGGCATCCTTTACACAGTTACTGGCATCCTTTACACAGTTACTGGCATCCTTTACAAGGTTATTGGCATCCTTTACACAGTTACTGGCATCCTTTACACAGTTACTGGCATCCTTTACACAGTTACTGGCATCCTTTACACAGTTACTGGCATCCTTTACAAGGTTATTGGCATCCTTTACACAGTTACTGGCATCCTTTACACAGTTACTGGCATCCTTTACACAGTTACTGGCATCCTTTACACAGTTACTGGCATCCTTTACACAGTTACTAGAATCCTTTACAAGGTTATTGGCATTCTTTACACAGTTACTGGCATCCTTTACACAGTTACTGGCATCCTTTACACAGTTACTGGCATCCTTTACACAGTTACTAGCATCCTTTACACAGTTACTAGCATCCTTTACACAGTTACTAGCATCCTTTACACAGTTACTAGCATCCTTTACACAGTTACTGGCATCCTTTACACAGTTACTGGCATCCTTTACACAGTTACTAGCATCCTTTACACAGTTACTAGCATCCTTTACAAGGTTACTGGCATCCTTTACACAGTTACTAGCATCCTTTACACAGTTACTAGCATCCTTTACAAGGTTACTGGCATCCTTTACACAGTTACTAGCATCCTTCACACAGTTACTAGCATCCTTTACAAGGTTACTGGCATCCTTTACACAGTTACTAGCATCCTTTACACAGTTACTGGCATCCTTTACAAGGTTATTGGCATTCTTTACACAGTTACTTGCATTCTTTACAAGGTTACTGGCATCCTTTACAAGGTTACTGGCATCCTTTACACAGTTACTGGCATCCTTTACACAGTTACTGGCATCCTTTACACAGTTACTGGCATCATTTACAAGGTTACTGGCATCCTTTACAAGGTTACTGGCACCCTTTACACAGTTACTGGCATCATTTACACAGTTACTGGCATCCTTTACACAGTTACTGGCATCCTTTACACAGTTACTAGCATCCTTTACAAGGTTACTGGCATCCTTTACAAGGTTACTGGCACCCTTTACACAGTTACTGGCACCCTTTACACAGTTACTGGCATCCTTTACACAGTTACTGGCATCCTTTACAAGGTTACTGGCACCCTTTACACAGTTACTGGCACCCTTTACACAGTTACTGGCATCCTTTACACAGTTACTGGCATCCTTTACACAGTTACTGGCATCCTTTACACAGTTACTGGCATCCTTTACAAGGTTACTGGCATCCTTTACAAGGTTACTGGCACCCTTTACACAGTTACTGGCATCCTTTACACAGTTACCGGCATCCTTTACAAGGTTACTGGCATCCTTTACAAGGTTACTGGCACCCTTTACACAGTTACTGGCATCCTTTACACAGTTACTGGCATCCTTTACACAGTTACTGGCATCCTTTACACAGTTACTAGCATCCTTTACAAGGTTACTGGCATCCTTTACAAGGTTACTGGCACCCTTTACACAGTTACTGGCATCCTTTACACAGTTACTGGCATCCTTTACAAGGTTACTGGCATCCTTTACACAGTTACTGGCATCCTTTACACAGTTACTGGCATCCTTTACACAGTTACTGGCATCCTTTACACAGTTACTGGCATCCTTTACACAGTTACTGGCATCCTTTACACAGTTACTGGCATCCTTTACACAGTTACTGGCATCCTTTACACAGTTACTGGCATTCTTTACACAGTTACCGGCATCCTTTACAAGGTTACTGGCATCCTTTACACAATTAATGGCATCCTTTACTAGGTTACTATCATCCTTCACACAGTTACTAGCATCCTTTACACAGTTACTGGCATCCTTTACAAGGTTACTGGCATCCTTCACAAGGTTACTGGCATCCTTCACAAGGTTACTGGCATCCTTTACAAGGTTACTGGCATCCTTTACAAGGTTACTGGCATCCTTTACAAGGTTACTGGCATCCTTCACAAGGTTACTGGCATCCTTTACACTATTACTGGTATCCTTTACAAGGTTACTGGCATCCTTTACACAGTTACTGGCATCCTTTACACAGTTACTAGCATCCTTTACAAGGTTACTGGCATCCTTTACAAGGTTACTGGCACCCTTTACACAGTTACTGGCATCCTTTACACAGTTACTGGCATCCTTTACAAGGTTACTGGCACCCTTTACACAGTTACTGGCATCCTTTACACAGTTACTGGCATCCTTTACACAGTTACTGGCATCCTTTACACAGTTACTGGCATCCTTTACACAGTTACTGGCATCCTTTACACAGTTACTGGCATCCTTTACACAGTTACTGGCATCCTTTACACAGTTACCGGCATCCTTTACAAGGTTACTGGCATCCTTTACACAATTAATGGCATCCTTTACTAGGTTACTATCATCCTTCACACAGTTACTAGCATCCTTTACACAGTTACTGGCATCCTTTACAAGGTTACTGGCATCCTTGACAAGGTTACTGGTATCCTTCACAAGGTTACTGGTATCCTTAACAAGGTTACTGGCATCCTTTACAACGTTACTGGCATCCTTTACAAGGTTACTGGCATCCTTCACAAGGGTACTGGCATTCTTTACATTGTTACTGGCATCCTTTACAAGGTTAATGGTATCCTTCACAAGGTTACTGGCATCCTTTACACTATTACTGGCATTCTTTACACTGTTACTGGCATCCTTTACAGGGTTACTGGCATCCTTTACACTATTACTGGTATCCTTTACAAGGTTACTGGCATTCTTTACACTATTACTGGTATCCTTCACAAGGTTACTGGCATTCTGATACAAGTTTTTAGACAGCAAGATCGTTGAAGAAAGCAGAAGAAGACAAGCAGACATTTTACCAATTAATAATTATGATGACGGTGATGAGGAGGAGGAGAACACTGAAGCTGCTAAGAATAAACGACGACAATCATGTTGATGACCATATCGTACTGGTACAAACTTAACGACATACCACTCTCCAATCAGTGTGGATGCTTTCAACTGCTATGTGCTCGTAAAAACCTGCGAATCCCTCAGTCAGCCAAACATCGTCCCACCAAGCTGGGGTCACCAAATTACCAAACCACTGTTGGAAACCACAAGAAACAAATATAAATTGGACATAGACCCCGTGTGGGTCTCGCCACTTTTTGGGGGGGAACAAGGAATACAACCACTCAATGCTAGGATTTTTTCACGTGGAATTCTAGTATTTCCCCCTTGTCTCTGGGTAGTCAAATCAGATGCCCGCGTGTATTTCTGAGCACTTGCGAATCGAAAAGAGTAGTTAAAAGTCGCCGCTCGGGAACAAGTTGGAGTTAAAAATATGCCCAAAGTATTTCAGGATCCTTTTCGGTACTACGAAGTTCGTGCACTGCGCTGAGATGTCTCGGACTCAAGCTTGAGTTAGAGGTAGAGTGGAGCACTTTAGGGTTACTACCCTTGTGCCATGATGTTGATCCGTTGTATAGACCACACCAAACCCATAAATAGCATGAAGTACATTGCCATTGATAAGTGATTTTTCTTTTGAATTCAGAGTACATCTACCAGAGAGAACCAACAGTATGCATACAAGTGAGCCAGATCTTTGAACTTGATGTGCACGCGAAACTCAAGTTCTGGAAAGAAAGACTAAGTCCAGAAGTATAGGAATAACCAAAACTTTTCATCAGAAGTTTACAGCCAGAGAACGCGAATAAGAAGAATGGCAGAATCTGAAAAAGCTCGTGGCTTCTTTTTCTCACTTTCCTGATGGTTATATATCCTAGGATCTTTGGTTTTTCTCTCACTTTACTGATGGTTATATATCCTAGAATCTTTGGCTTTTATATCACTTTACTGATGGTTATATATCCTAGGATCTTTGGCTTTTATCTCACTTTACTGATGGTGATATATCCTATGATCTTTGGCTTTTCTCTCACTTTACTGATGGTTATATATCCTAGAATCTTTGGCTTTTATCTCACTTTACTGATGGTTATATATCCTAGGATCTTTGGCTTTTCTCTCATTTTACTGATGGTTATATATCCTAGAATCTTTGGCTTTTATCTCACTTTACTGATGGTTATATATCCTTGAATCTTGGCTTTTCTCTCACTATACTGATGGTTATATATCCTAGGATCTTTGGCTTTTCTCTCACTTTATT